GCTCCTGTCAGGTTGCCTGCTCCCGTGTGGGCTCCTCTCCATGGGCTACAGCTCCATCCTGGAATCTACTCTGGTGAGGGTTCTCCACAGACCACAGCCTCCATCAGTGCAGGTCCATCTGTTCCACCGTGGTCTCCTCCATGGACTGCAGCATGGAGATCTGCTCCACCCTTGTACTCCATGGGCTGCAGGGGGACTACCTGCTCCACCATGGTCCTCAACACAGGCAGCAAGAGAGCTTCTGCTCTGGCACCTGGAGCACCTCCTTCCCCTCCTTCACTTGGCCACTGCCTGGCTATTTATCACTCCTCTCTCTCCCAGCTGCCATGTAGCAGCATTTATTTATTTATTTATTTATTTATTTATTTATTTATTTATTTATTTATTTATTTATTTTCCCTTTCCTTAAATATTCTCTCAGAGAAGCACAGACAACATTGCTTATTGGCTCAGCTCTGACCAGTGGCAGGCTCCTTATATAAGATGGGACAACTTTTGGATTCTTCTCACAGAAAGAAAGAAACCGCCTGTGTGAGCTGGGGTTGGAGCCCAGTGCTGTGAATAGTGGTTGCATGGGGCTGATCTAGGAACCCCTGGGGCAGCATCTGCCAGGGTGTCCAGAGAAGAGCCCAGCCCAGACCCTGATCTGCTGGTCCTCCCTGTCTCTCCTAGGAGGCCAACCCAGCTCAGCCCATCGCCAGCTCTCCACACCTACTTCTCCTTTCCCCAGCCCAGCCCAGCCCAGCAGCCCAGGCTGGGAAGGCCCCAAAGCAGCAAATGGAGGAGTGGAGGGCAGTGGCAGTGTCCCTGCTGCTGCAATTTGCAGGAAATTCCCTTCCCACAGGCATTCTGCAACCCTGTACGCTAGCCCCACTCCCCAGCACAACACAGCATGACACTGCTGTCCCTGGGGATCCTCAGGCACCACCACTGCACACACAGCACCCTGCTCTGCTCCCAGGACACCCCATGTCCCACACAGCCTTGTCCCAGCCCAGCACGTCTGGGCTGGCCTGAGCAGCCATTCCTGCAGCCCCTGCCCATGCTGCCCACAGCCCCCACACAAGTGGTTCCTTGGCCATGGAGGCTGCACACAGATAGCTGGCCTCCTTCAGAGTCAGAGACTCATAGAAGAGAAATAAGCTAAACAAGGAGCCTCCTTCAAGTCTACTCCTTTGCAATATCCATGACAACAGCTCTAGGAGAAGATCTGAGCCTTAAGATACTGCCCTCAGCAGATCCCCTTTTATGCTGGAGATGCTGGTACGGAGCTGTTTGTGTTAGAGAAGTGCCACTGGCCTGTCCCTGCCTGTGGACACAGGACTGCCACACAGCAGCACGGTGAGCAAGCAACAAGAGCAATCAGTCCTCACAGCAACACAAGGGCTCCGTAGGAGAATGTGGGTGGTGAAGGAAAGCACTTCTGGGCAGACCAAGCTGTTTGGCTCCCAGGCATTGCTGCTGTGCCAGGATTCAGTTTCCTGCACCTCTGCACACAGCCAAGTGCCCCTGAAACTCCACCATAGGTCTCTGAGGGAGGATCTCAGGCAACAATTCGTTGCCACGTCCTTTCTATCATGCAAATACACAGAGAGCCTGGCTCCTTCACACCAAGTTTCTATGTAGCAAGAGACAGGTAGATACTGAAATGGAAGAGGATGAAAAAATACATTTCTTATTCTATCGTGAATAAAGGAAATGAATTTTAAAATATATAAAAAAAATAAATAAATAAATATATATTGGGTCTGCAGCTGTAAGAAGTTTCCTTAGTTATATGTAGAAGATGGGTGGTTTATTGCTACAGAAAAATGTCCAGTCATCACTTTCCACATGGCATCCTTCAGCTCCTGGTTCCTCATGCTGTAGATGAGGAGGTTCACTGCTGGAGGTACAACTCAGTACTGAACTACCAGCAAAAGATTCAGAAAGGAGGAGGACAGGGATTGAGGTTTTAGGTAGGCAAATAATCCAGTACAGATGAACAGGGAAACCACAGCCAGGTGAGGGAGGCACGTGGAAAAGGCTTTGTGTCGACACTGCTCAGAGGGCATGCTCAGTACAGCTCTGAAGATCTGCATATAGGAGTAAAGAATGAAAAAGAAACACCCAAAAAGTGAACAAGCAGTAAAAACAACAAGCTCAATTTCCCGGATCAAGACATCTGAGCAAGAGAATTGAGGATCTGGGGAATTTCACAGAAGATCTGGTCCAGGGCATTGCCTTGGCAGAGGGGAAGGGAAAAGGTATTGTCAGTGTGCAGCACAGCGTAGAGAAAAGTAATGCCCCAGGCAGCTGCTGCCATGTTGACACAAGCCCAGCCTAACCCCGAGCAGTCCGGCCCCCTCCCCCCGGCTAGCCACCCCTATATATTGTTTAGCATGACGTCAGATGGTATGGAATACCCCTTTGGCTAGTTTGGGTCACCTGTCCGGGGTCTGTCCCCTCCCAGCTCTTACTGCACCCCCAGCCTGCCTGTTGGCAGGACAGAGCAAAAGGCTGAGACGTCCTTGGCTTGGTGTAAGCACTGCTCTGCAACAATTAAAACATCGGGGTGTTATCAGCACTCTTCTCATCCTAAACCAAAACACAGCATTCCACCAGCTACTAGGAAGAAAATTAATTCTGTTCCAACTGAAACCAGGACACCACACATTTGTGATTGTGGCTCCACAGGGCTCTTTAAGGCCTCAGAGATTGCTCGCCAGGTGCCAAGCAATCCCACCACAACCTTGTCATTTTTAGCTGCAGAGTCCCACACCTTGACCGCAGTTTGGTCCCATATTTCAGGCTCATAAACAGTCCAATTGTTAATAAGGAAAATAAGCTGTAAGTTTACCAGGACAGTCTTTGTTCCTAAGGACATATGATTCCCCATAATGCGCAACTGCTTACCAGCGAGAGGCAGTTGTGTGCACAGGTCCGCTTCTCTCAGCTCGAGCTTTTCTCCAGCTCCAGTGCGCCTATTCCAGCGACGAGCTTCTCTGAGCGGTTTGCTGAGTCTGGCCGAACCTGTCTTCATGAGGCAATCAAAATGCCTGTTCCCATCTTTGTATCCATTCTGCCAGCCTGTTCCTCTTCACTTCTTTTTCTGTTTCTTTATTGATGATGTAACTTCATTGTGTTGCCTTTTTTTTTTTTTTTTTTTTATCTTGAGGGCAGGCTCCCCTCTTATACCCTTCTCTCCACAGCAGTTCTTTTCAAAACAACTTTTCATTGGTCAAACAACTTTGAATGTATACAACAACAGCAAACACCCAGAAACATCCATGCCTTAAGGGCTGGAGAACAAGAGAACCATCTGGAGAACAAGAAACCAGAGACTGCATGGAGTCTCCTGAATCACCCTTCTTTGTTCCCTCTATACTCTTTTATAATCTTGATGGCCTCGTCATTAAGAGTCTAATGTTATCTCAACCATGGGGCTTTCCAGCCCCCATGGCCACATTCTCAAATCTCCCCCTTCTTAATTATTATCAACCATTTTCTCAACACAAATTACCACTCCATATATAACAACAGGAGGAGGAACTCCTTGGGGAAGCTGCTATTGGACATTTGCTGTCCTCTCAGTAGGCCACCCCAGACCAAACCCTCCTCAGCTCTCCACACCTCCCTGTCCTCTCCCCAGCCCATCCCAGCCCAGCCCAGCCCAGCCCAGCAGAACAGCCCATGCTGGGATGGCACACAAACAGGAAATGGAGAAGGGGAGGTCAGTAGCAGTGTCCCTGCTACTGACATCTGCAGGATGTAAACCCCACCGCTCCACCTTCTCAGACAACCTGCAGCCCCCCAGTCCAGCCCCACTCCCCAGCACAGCACAGCACCACACTGCTGCCCCTGGGGCTCCTCAGGCAGCACCACTGCACACACACAGAGCCCTGCTCTGCTCCCAGGACACCCCATGTCCCACACAGCCTTGCCCCAGCCCAGCACGTCTGGGCTGGCCTGAGCAGCCATTCCTGCAGCCCCTGCCCATGTTGCCCACAGCCCCCCAGCTGGTGGTGCTGCTCTGCAGAACGAGGGGGCTGTGGTGCATGGGGCCGTGGGGGCACTCTGCAGGGCTGTGCTGGTCAGGCTGGGAAGGCAGAGCCAGCTGGTGGGGGGCACTGCCACTGAGTGCCTCCCACACAAGTGGTTCCTTGGCCATGGAGGGTGCGCAGATAGCCAGCCTTCTTCAGAGTCAGAGACTCATGGAATAGCCTGACAAGGAGGAACCCACAAGGATCATCAAGTCCAACTCATTTCTGATGTCATTAGATGTTTGGGGGTGGTTCACTGTATTCAGACTATGAAATTTCACCAGAGGTATAACAACTAATCCAGCAGATGGCTTTCCCTATGCCAGCTGTGTTTCCTGGAGTTGCAGAGCTGTCCTTGCCCTGATTTAGCATCTTGAATGCTTTAGCACCTGGGTGCCTCCACGTTGGACAGACGTGTTCTGTATGTTCCATGCTCTCCTGCCTCTCCTGAGCAACAAGAATCAGTCCTCACAGTAACACAAGGGCTCTGAAGAAGAATGTGGGAGGTGAAAGAGGGCAGCTTGGGAAATAAATAAAATAAAATAAAATAAAATAAAATAAAATAAAATAAAATAAAATAAAATAAAATAAAATAAAATAAAATAAAATAAATCCTGGGGCTCCCTGGCAGTGCTGCTGTACCAGGACTCTTTTTCCCTCCACCTTTGCACACATTCAAGTGCCCCTGCAGCTCCACCACAAGTCTCTGAGGAAGAATCTCAGGCAAGCAAATCACAGCAAGGTTCTTTCTTTTATTTAAATACACAGAGAGCCTGACTTCTCATTTACTCCATGTCTCAGAGTCACACGGACAGGTAGATACTGAAATGGAAGGGGATGAATAATGATACATTTGTGTGCAACACCATCACACATAAATCAAAGATAAGAAAATGCAACACAACCACACACAAATTTCCAACTTCTAGGCCTGTAATGACCTACATTATAAATGATATGCAGAGGAAAAATGGCAGTTTATTGGTTCTGAAAATATCCAGTTACCAATTCGCACACTGCATCCTTCAGCTCTTTGTTCCTCATGCTGTAGATGAGGGGGTTCACTGCTGGAGGCACCACTGAATACAAAACTGCCAGCAAAAGATTCAGGAAGGAGGAGGATACAGAGGGGGGCTTCAGATAAGCAAATAATCCAGTGCTGATGAACAGGGAGAACGCAGCCAGGTGAGGGAGGCATGTGGAAAAAGCTTTGTGCTGTCCCTGCTGTGAGGGGATCCTCAGCACTGCCCTGAAGATCTGCACATAGGAGAGCAGAACATAAAGAAAACATCCAAATGCTAAGCAGGCACTAACCACAAGAAGCCCAACTTCTCTGAGGTAGGCATCAGAGCAAGACAGCTTGAGGATCTGGGGAATTTCACAAAAGAACTGGTCCACAACATTGCCTTGGCAGAGGGGGAGGGAAAAGGTATTGACAGTGTGCAGCACAGCATTGAGAACACCACTGCCCCAGGCAGCCTCTGCCATGTTGACACAAGTTCTGCTGTCCATTATTGTCCTGTAGTGCAGAGGTTTGCAAATGGCAATGTAGCGGTCATAGGCCATGATGGTGAGAATAGAAAACTCTGCTGAAATGAAAAAGAAAAAAATCTGAGCAGCACATTCATAGGGGGAAATGGCCCTGGTATCCCACAGGGAATTGGCCATGGCTTTGGGAACATTGGTGGAGATGGAGCCCAGGTCGAGGAGGGAGAGGTTGAGGAGGAAGAAGTACATGGGGGTGTGGAGGCGGTGGTCGCAGGCTATGGCGGTGAGGATGAGGCCGTTGCCCAGGAGGGCAGCCAGGTAGATGCCCAGGAAGAGCCCAAAGTGCAGGAGCTGCAGCTGGCGTGTGTCTGCAAATGCCAACAAGAGGAACTCCGTGGGGAAGCTGCTGTTGGACATTTGCTGCCTCTGGGCATGGTTGCCTGTCCATGGAGTAATAGACAGTGAAATGTTAGAGAGACTTTTCTGAGCCAAAACTAAACCTTATTTCATAGAAAACATCCTCACCAAGGCTGTATCCTCACTGCGTCTTCATCTCAAGAAGACTTGCTCTTGCCTGGAGCTCTGCATCTGTTTGCCTAAAGATGCCACAGAGACCATGAAGATCCTCTGTAATCTCAGCAGTAATCAGTGCTGCTGGTAAAGAACACCAGGGGTGCATCTCAGGCATCCACTGGCCAGAGGCATCTCCCTATTTACAAGTGCTGAGAAGGACATCCACCAATCCCACAAGAAACAATGAAGGTTGTGCTGGTGCTGTCTGTAGGCTAAAGGGTGTGGAGTGAAGTTGTGAGGTTCCTCAAAGACCTACACATCCCTTTTAACTGTAATGCTCTATGAGTTTAGCTCCCTTCTACAATCCTAACAACACCATTATCGTCTCCCTAACTGCCATCCAAAGCAGGAAATTAAAAAATGAGACCTCAGAGAGTGCCATCTCTTCAGTTACGGCAGGTGCTGTTAGACGTTAACTGGGAGTGCCACACGGCTGACACGAGCAAGTCCAGGAGGTTCATGAAGCACCTAGATGATAACTTCTTGGTGCAGGTGCTAACGGAGCCAACTAGGAAAGGTGCCCTCCTAGACCTGTTGCTAGAAAACAGAGAGGGTCTGGTGGGAGATGTGGTGATTGGTGGCCGCCTCGGTCATAGCGACCATGAAGTGGTTGAGTTCAAAATTTACAGTGACAGAAGGAAAAGTGCCACCAAAACCTCATCCCTAGATATGGGGAAGGCGGACTTCAGGCTGCTCGGGGAACTAGTCAGCAAGGTCCCCTGGGAAGCTGCTCTTGAAGGCCTCGATGTCCACCAGTGCTGGTCACTCTTTAAGCGATGCCTCCTAGAAGCACAAGAACAGGCAATTCCTAAATACCGCAAGTCAGGCAGGCGGGGCAGGAGGCCGTCGTGGCTGACCAGGAACATTCTTATGGAGATTAGGCGGAAACAGAGAGTGTTTCGCTACTGGAAGGAGGGCCAGGTGACATGGAAAGAATACAGGGATGCTGCTCGTGTCTGTAGGAAGAAAATTCGTGTGGCTAAAGCACACCTAGAGTTGAAGCTGGCTGTGTCTATGAGAGATAATAAAAAGGGTTTTTTTAGATATGTGAATGGAAAAAGGAGAACTAAAGAATACATAGGGCCGCTCCTTGACAGGGAAGGTCTTCTCACAGACGATGACATAGGCAAAGCAGAGACGCTTAACGCCTTCTTTGCCTCTGTCTTCAATGCCGATGATGGGCTTCGGGACCCAGGGTGCCCCGAGCTGGAGGACCGGGACGGTGGGGATGACAAACTCCCAACCGACCCTGAACGTGTGCGGGATCTGCTACTCCACCTGGATCCCTACAAGTCCATGGGTCCGGATGGGATTCATCCCCGGGTGCTGAAGGAGCTGGCGGACGTCATCGCGGAACCTCTCTCAATTATTTTTCAACGATCCTGGGAGTCTGGAGAGGTCCCGGTAGACTGGAAGCTGGCAAATGTTGTGCCGATTTTCAAGAAGGGTCAGAAAGAAGACCCTAGCAATTACAGGCCTGTCAGTCTCACGTCAGTGCCTGGTAAAATCATGGAGAAGATGGTTCTCGAACGTATTGAGGCGCACCTGGGGGACAAAGCAGTCATTGGTCCCAGCCAGCATGGGATTGAGAAGGGTAGGTCCTGCCTAACTAACCTGATTTCCTTTGATGATAAGATCACCCGTATGGTGGACCAAGGGAAACCAGCTGATGTGATTTTTTTGGACTTCAGCAAGGCTTTTGACACGGTTTCTCATAGAATCCTACTGGACAAAATGTCCACCATACAGCTAAATAAAAACATCATACGATGGGTGAACAATTGGCTAACGGGCAGGGCCCAAAGGGTTATGGTAAATGGGGCTGCGTCAGGCTGGCGGGCGGTCACCAGTGGGGTCCCTCAAGGCTCCATTTTAGGGCCGGTACTTTTCAATATTTTTATAAACGATCTGGATGTAGGAATAGAAGGTATTTTGAGCAAGTTTGCTGATGACACCAAACTTGGAGGAGTTGTGGACTCTGTTGAGGGTGGAAAGGCCTTGCAGAGGGATCTGGATAGGTTGGAGAGCTGGGCGATTACCAACCACATGAAGTTCAATAAGAGCAAGTGCCGGGTCCTGCACCTGGGACGGGGAAACCCTGGCTGCACATACAGACTGGGGGATGAGACGCTGGAGAGCAGCCTAGAAGAGAGGGATCTGGGGGTCGTGGTAGACAACAAGTTGAATATGAGCCAGCAGTGTGCCTTGGCAACCAGGAGGGCCAACTGTGTCCTGGAGTGCATCAAGCACGGCATCGCTAGTAGGTCAAGGGAGGTGATTGTCCCACTCTACTCTGCGCTGGTGCAGCCTCACCTCGAGTACTGTGTGCAGTTCTGGGCACCACAGTATAAAAAGGACATGAAACTGTTGGAGAGTGTCCAGAGGAGGGCTACGAAGATGGTGAAAGGCCTGGAGGGGAAGACGTATGAGGAACGGCTGAGGGCACTGGGCCTGTTCAGCCTGGAGAAGAGAAGGCTGAGGGGAGACCTCATCACAGTCTACAACTTCCTCGTAAGGGGGTGTCGAGAGGCAGGAGACCTTTTCTCCATTAACACCAGTGACAGGACCCGCGGGAACGGGGTTAAGCTGAGGCAGGGTAAATTTAGGCTTGACATCAGGAGGGGGTTCTTCACAGAGAGGGTGGTTGCACACTGGAACAGGCTCCCCAGGGAAGTGGTCACTGCACCGAGCCTGTCTGAATTTAAGAAGAGATTGGACTGTGCACTTAGTCACATGGTCTGAACTTTTGGGTAGACCTGTGTGGTGTCAAGAGTTGGACTTGATGATCCTTAAGGGTCCCTTCCAACTCAGGATATTCTATGATTCTATGATTCTATGAAATATGTCACCCTGTTGGGGGCAGCTTCCTGAAAGCCTTTATGACCTCAGAGGCTCTGCCTCCCTGCTGTTGTCCAGACAGGGGCTGGGACAGAAGTGAACTCACAGCCAGCATCCACAGGGTCACAAGGAGGTGTTGTGCTCAGGAAGCCTCTTTCCAGCCCACCCAGGAGCACCAGGTGTATGCCCTTCACAGTCCCTCAGGTACTCTGCCTGCCAACCAGTTCATGCTTCAGAAGGTCTTCTACATGTCCAGGATCACGTTTCCTCATGCAGCCTTTAGCAACTCCATTGCATCCTAAAGGAAATGCCCACCCATGTGTGGAAATGTGATTCAAGAACTTTATATATACTTTGGGAAAACATATATTTTTGGCAAATTCTGCAGAGAAGGAGTTGGTATGACAGTTACAATGACTAGGATTGCTTTATTCAGATGGTATTCTAGGGGACCTTACCTCCAATGGGAAGTGAACTTTAGACTCTCTCTGTCCCACTGGAATTCATGGCTCCCTTAGGGAACAGCTTATGGCACTTGGGCTCATTCAGGTTCATCTCACCACACCCACACCGGATGCAGTCTCATATGGACAAGGGAAACATGGACTCCTGATGTAGTCATTTAGTGTCCATATCCAGAGGAAGAAACCATCTGTGTGAGCTGGGGCGAGAGCCCAGTGTTGGGAACGGTGGTTGCAAGGGGCTGCTCTTGGACCATTGGCCTGAGGCAGCATCTGCCAGGGTGTCCAGAGAACAAGGTCCAAGCCCAGCCCCTGCTCTGCTGGTCCTCCCTGACTCTCCCAGGAAGACAGCCTTTCTTGCTGTGGATACAGGCCGGTGAAGTCAACAGACTTCACCAACAGACAGGAATGGAATCATCCCTCCCTGCCTAAAATATGATCCTGGGACTCCTATCTTATCTGCCTGAGTCCACAGAGAAACAAGCAAAGCCAGGAACCTCTTTCAAGTCCGTTCCTTTGAAATATCCATGACAGCATCTTTGTGAGAAAAGCTGGGCTTTCAGGCACTGCCCTGAGCAGATCCCCTTTTATACTGGAGATGCTGGTATGGAGCCAGCTGTGTTAGAGAAGAGCCCCTGGCCAGTCCCTGCCAGTGGACACAGGACTGCCCCACAGCAGCACAGTGAGCAAGCGACAAGAGCAATCAGTCCTTACAGCAACACAAGAGCTCCATAGGAGAGTGTGGGAGGTGAAATGGAGAGCTGATTTGGACAGACCAAGCCCTGGGGCTCCCTGGCAGTGCTGCTGTGCCAGGACTCTTTTCCCCTCAACCTCTGCACACAGCCAAGTGCCACCACTTTTCTCTGAGGAAGCATCTCAGGCAAGCACGACATTGCAGGAACCATCTTTTTATTTAAATAGACATTAAATATTTAATTGCCCATTAAATACACCTCTTTTATACTAAGTCTCAGAGTCACATGAGACATTCAGAAGTGAACTGGAAGGGGAAGTAAAAGGATTTTTTTATTTTGTTAAAATATATCACTACATAAATAAAGCAAAACAAAACAAAACAAAACAAAAATAAACAAAACAAACAAAAAAAAGATCTTCCTTGGCCTTTAATGAGTTACATTATGAGTGATATGCAATGGACATGCAGTTATTTGCTTCTCAAAAACCTCCAGTCATCACTTTCCACACTGCATCCTTCAGCTCCTGGTTCCTCATGCTGTAGATGAGGGGGTTCACTGCTGGAGGCACCACCGAGTACAGAACTGCCAGCAAAAGATTGAGGGAGGAGGAGGACACGGAGGGGGGTTTCAGGTAGGCAAATGTGGCAGTGCTTATGAACAGAGAGACCACAGCCAGGTGAGGGAGGCATGTGGAAAAGGCTTTGTGCCGTCCTTGATGGGAGGGGATCCTCAGCACAACTCTGAAGATCTGCACATAGGACAGCACAAGGAAAACAAAACAACCAAATAATAAACAGACACTAATCACAAGAAGCCCAACTTCTCTGAGGTAAGCAACTGAGCAGGA